TTAATGAAAAGTATTTTACTTTTTTTTCATAAATCAGTAGAATCAATCAATACAGTCACTTCAGCCAGAATATAATGAATATCAGCATAATCAATCGATTCATGTGATTTCAGTGTTACCAAACGAACTCATAATTCCTTCTAAAGCATATGCTCATAAATGTCACTCGTTGATAAAGCAAAAAGTATACCAAGTAATCAAATATGATTTGAACCGTTTGAAATACATATTTTTGTCATATATCACATATATCTTCCCACTTCCAAAGTGGATGAGATTAAAAATAGTGAAATGGGGTATGAATTATTGAGGGTATGATGGGAAAATTTGTTGTTTTGATTAAGAAAATAGATATATAGTTTTTTTGTCAGCTAGTATTCCAGTCTTTACAAGACCTTTTTCTAAAGTAGGACCAAAATAGTACTTCCTGGCAAAACAAAGGGATTAGGGGTGACTTTAAATATCTATTTTCTTAATCATATATGTTATCTGATTTTTATACACATTTTTGTATAACCTTTTTTTCCCTCAAATTTATTTATTTTAATTTATCTATTTTTTTACTAGTTTATAATGAGTTGTTCCATCATTTGCAATGGAGCCAAAGATTCATTATTTTTTGCCTTGAGAATATGATAGGATAAAGCAAAATGGCTCACTAAATTTTATGCGCTTCTTTGTTATGAAGCAGCAGTCAGTCCATGCAATTTTGGACGCGATTTTCACTATGGGTCATCCGGAAACAGTCTCTTTGTGCTTTAGTACAGGGGTAAGACTGCGTACATCCGACCCCCCTTACCCCACTGCAGGTGGGAGCCTTTGCGGCACTAGGGTAAATGAAAATGAAAATGACTAGTTTATAATGAATTAATTTTAAATTATCAATTTTTAGTTGGTGAATCAAGTAATTAGTGATATATTTTCAATTAGTGATTCACATTCATGTACTACGTGTAGAAACTGGAAGCATTACTTCTAAGTTGATGATTTTTTATCGTACTAAGCTTTGCTTTTGAATCAATACTTTTTTGTATTAAAACAATTAGTCCGCGTTTTTGTTGCAGATTCTGATTAAACTGAACCAGAAGGATCTCTTAGAGCAGTTTGAGACGGAACTGTAGAAGTGGTACAACCTATTTCTTATTTGGTTCTATGTATTAAAATACTCACACGGATATCTCGGTATAATATCTTCTTTACTTTAGTGCTACAACTATATATATTTTTATCTGTGATCTTTTATGTTGGTTTTCTAAGTGTTTTGAAAACCTCTTAATGTTACTGTGAACTATCAATGGCTTTCTCTGTGTGTTTTGGCCCTTTTCTCTAGTTTTAGTTTATGTTTCTAAACTTCCATTGCTTAGGATGTTACTTGCTTTTATTTTGGTTGGGAACTCTTAAATTTGAAGTCATTTATTGAGTTTGTATTATGATAGATTTTTTGATCATTTTATTGTGAGACTTTGATATATATTTTGGCGGCTGCTTATCATGTTTTTATTACGGGTTCATTCGTTTGAGGTATTAAGATATCTATTTTTGTGTGTTTCAGTTTTAACATTTCATGCACAACTTATTAACAAAGTTATTGTGTTAAAGATAATTTATGAGACAATTGGTATACTAATCTAGTTGGAAGTGCAAACTATTCCACTCTTGAGTGTGGAAGCATTAAGTTCTAGTGTAAATAAGTAGTATACTTTGCACTTCAAGTCTGGAAGCATTAACTTCAGATTATTTTGTGAAGTTATATAGTATAACACATAATATCAAAAAGAAAATTCTATTAATAAGATCAGTTGCTGAAGTTTCAATAGTTACAACTTACAAATTGTTTATTAAAGTACCGGCATACATATATTTGGCGATAGAGGCATTGGCTGATGTTAGTTCATGGTGGCTTGATAAGTCCGTATTTTGACACGTATTTGATGCGTGTTGAGATCGGCTTTTGATGATTCCTAGTTTTAAGGTGTTACAAGTCTCAATTTTAGCTCAAGTTATGTTTACCGGGCGTTGGTTCGAGTTTTGTGTTGTTTGTAGTCAAAATCAGGAAATTTGAGCCCGGCACCGGCACTTGAGGAACAATCGGGATGATTCGAGAGGCATTCAAGAAAGATTTGAGAGATTTGGAGGTCACCGGAAGATTCACCATGAAGATTTGAAGGAAAAAGAGCTCTGGGACTGGCTTCGGGATAAAAAAGAAGATGAATGAAGCTTGAAAACGACGATCAGGATGACCTTCTGTCAATCGTTCAAGCATATCTCTTTGAAGAAACATCCAATGTACACGATTCAAGTTCCATAGGAAAGCCAACTTCAAGGGCTACAAATCATATGAAGACACCTTTGCGAGAATCTGAGAGGAAGAAGGTGAAAACAGACGATGAAGTCAGATGATCTCTGCTGCGATTTCAGAAAGACACCTTACACCGTTTTGATCATATCTCTTGATTAGATGATTTAAATCACATTCGGCAAATTGTGGTCGATAGAGGACTTCATTATCTACAACTTTCATGAAGGAAGTTTTGTCAAATTCGGAAGTTAAGTAGGCACGATCGTGCCCTCAAAGTCAGATACGATCGTGCCTGAAGAGAAAAGCACCGAGGAGTTACTGCCAGCCAGGCACGATCGTGCCTGGAGGGAGGCACGATCGTGCCTGCCCAAAATGCGCATTTTTGCTCCGGAGGCACGATCGAAGGCACGATCGTGCCTGGCATCATGTCTGGCTCCGAAAATCCTAATTTCGCCCGAATTTGTTCCGTTTTTCCTATTTAAACAGCCTGTAAACCCCGTTTTCGAGGGGGGAGCTTAGAGAGAGTGCCGAGCACGAATTTTAGAGATCTTTTCAGCCTTGTTCATCAATCTTTTGGGATTCTTTGTAAGTTCCACCTTTTTTAATTAATGACAATTAATTCTTTTTATTCCAATTCTATTGATTCTTCAATTATGAATTGTGAGTAGTTTAAATTAGGGATTTGGGATTGATGAAGGGGTTAATCATGATGTATGGCTAGATTCTTTTCGGTTTAATTGCATGAATGCCGTTTAATTTGTGTTTGAATAATTTAATTGATATCTTTTGTAACCTAGAATCGCGACTAGAATTACAATTGCATGTAGAATAAATTGAGAGAGATCTAATTTGTTCTAGGACACATTCACACACACTTAATCATTCGCTAAGAGATTAGTAGCGATTAAGGGGCCGTAAGCTCGCTCGTCTTGGCAATAATTTAGGATCCTGTCGCATGAGAGATCAGCCTGGTCCCCTAAATTATTGTACTCTACGCCGCGAGAGCGGTAAGAACTTAGTAATGATGAGCTAGGCTCAATTAAATTATTTTCATGTAATTAGACCCGATCTGCCAGAAATCTGGTTACCCCGGAATCGATCCCTGTTCCCTTCGTCATTAATTAGAAAGAACCCTCTAGTTTAATTGTTCGCATTAGTTTTATTTCAATCAACCAACCAATCTCGCACGACGCTTTTATTTTATTTTCTTTTTAATCACTGAATTTAATTAATTCTTGATTCCCTTTTGTCCGTCCCTGTGGAGACGATACTCGTACTTACACCACTATATTACAATCTTTTTAAGTGCGAGAAAACTCACATCATGGCTGCTGGTTTTCCTTGAGAACTTGCACTTGGTCTTACTTCTCAAACTGTACTGGGGGCTGCAACCATGGTGGCCAGTAGCGGGAAGCACCCAGGTCAACTTAAAGATGAGGTAGCCCCAGCTGGTGGCACCACCATCGTCAGGATTCATGAGTTGGAGAAGGCTGGCTTTCGTGAGGTATTGATGAATGTTGTTGTGTAAGCTCTAGATTATTTGTATTACAAAGTCAAAAGCAGTTTTTCTCTTTCTCTTTTTATTAATTTATTCATTTCTTATTAATAAAATTAGGCCACTTGAGTCTACACGAAACAATTACTGTCTGATTATGCACACAAAAAAACTAGCTGACAAATGTTTAGCAGGTCGGATATACTAGCTGTCTAGCTGTAATTGCAGACTTTATCAGAGGTGATTTTTGTAAGTTTATTGAGAATGAGTTTTGCATTAATTTTTCTGTAGTATTTTTGTTAATAACTTTTCTATAATTGTTAAGCTACTTATATATAATTTACAATATCCTAGGTGAACAAGGAGCATAACAAAGAGTAAGGGAACAAAGAGTAAGAGAAGAAGATGAAGAAGAAGATGAAGATCATGAAAATGAAGAAGAAGAATCTCTCTAAATCAATGTATTTCTTTGAAGCTAGAATTTTTATTTATCTTGTTAACTCATAATGTTTTAGTAGCTCTAGTTAGTTCTGTTTTACATGGAGATGTAGATTAGATTGTACAAATTACATTCAGGTAGTAAAAGAAAATTTATTTTGATATTCAGTGCTATACTGTAAATAAAGCCTTACCTTTGTAAGTTATTTATATTAAACTTTAGCATATATTATCATTTATAAAAAAGGATATGAAATTTGGCATAAATATAATAATAGTCACGGAATTTTCTAATTAGTCCTACTTCAGGAGTTGCCTCTAAAAGGCTTCCAAGGCAACACTTAAAGTTGCATTTGATAATCTTTAAATACTGTATATAATGAGGCCTCCAATAACATTTTGAGTCCTTAAATATGGTTGCCTCTAATGACATTTTGAGGCGGAAGGGTATTGTTGTTTCCAAAGATAACTTTTAGATGCAAGCTAATTTTAGCCTCTAAAGGATTCTTTTAGAGGCCACCATCGTTTTGCGACGGACTATTTGTTGGCAACCACTAAATTGCCTCCAAAAGGCATTAGAGGCTACTTTTCTATTTTTAGAGGCAATTATTATGTGCCTCTACAAATCAATTTTATTGTAGTGAATGACCTAATTGACTTTTCGGCATAGTACGAGGGCTTATTTGATAGTTTTCCCTATAAAGTATCCCAATTTTGTGAACTAAATCTCCAACAGATGGAAGAAGAATAATAGTATAATACTTAAAAAGGGCATGGAAAATACTAGATATACTTCTGCTGCAGGATCAACCAAACTCGTCATCATAAATTATAAATTTGAGTGTTGGTTGAGCTAATTACGCAGTACATTAGAGGAATGTTCAGCTGAAATAATTCAATGAATGACAAAGATGATCGTTTTTATTGATAATATCTCACAGTAGATCATCATCATCATCATCTGTACAGCATAATCTTTTGATTTGATCAGTAGCCATCCTTAATGTTAAATTGATCTCAATAAAGTTTATATGAGACGTGTCTCCTGAAAGGAATACATTGACACTGTTTTTCAACAAAATCCAACTGCAACCCGGGCTCTTCTTTATCCCTATCAATCTTTTGGCCAACCTCACTTGTTCCTCATCCGTTTTTTGCCCCATGAAAGAGTACATGTCTGATAGGGCAACATAAGGAGCTGAGTTACTTGGTTCCAATCTATAAATATGCTCAGCCGCAACCTTTGCAAGATCAGGCCGCAAGTGAGTCCTACTTGAACTGAGAAGAGCACCCCAAACCCCGGAGTGGGGTTCAAGTGGCATTGATTTGATCAAACTCATTGCTTCATCAAGCAAACCTGCTTTACCAAGGATGTCAACCATGATTGCATAGTGATCAAGCTCCGGTTCAATCATATATAATGACATCATTGACTTGAAGTAATTCCATCCTTCTTCTACCATCCCGGAATGTGTGCAGGCTAACAGAACTCCAAGAAGGGTAATGGCATTAGGCATTTCACCTTTACCCTCCAGTTCTTTGAATAAATGAAGTGCTTCATTGCCTAAACCATTTTGGGAAAATCCTATTATCATGGCATTGAAGATACAAATATTGGGTTCCTTGACAGATATGAATATTCTATAGGCATCGTTTACGCTTCCACACTTGGAATACATTGAGATGAGGGAGCTCTGGATCAGCAAATCAAATTCCAAACACATTTTGAGAACATGGGCATGTATTTGCAAGCCTTGACTCAATACTGCCAAGCCAGCCGAAGCACTGAGCATACTACATAAAGTTATAGGATTTGGTCGAACCGAACTCTTAATCATCTGCACAAACAAACAAAAAGCTTCCTCATATGCTGCATTGTGAACAAAGCCAGAAATCATAGAAGACCAAGCAATGACATCTTTCTCTGGCATCCGCTTGAACAAAGTAAGGCCCTTCTCAATTAAGCCTTTTTTAGTGAACCCCATAAGTAAAGTAGTCCAAGAAACCACATCCTTCTCTGGAGCCTTCACAAAAAGTTCATAAGCTTCTTCAAGTCTTCCTCCTTGAACATAACAGCTGATAAGAGAATTCCATGAAACTATATCCTTACTTATCATTGCATCAAATGCACTTCTAGCCGCATAGGTACAACCAAATCTGGAATACATGGTTATGATGGAATTGCTTAAGAAAACATCACATATATGTCCTAATTGCAAGACCAATCCATGAATTTGAAATCCTAATTCACATTTTTTGTATTTACCACATGCTTCAAAAATAATAGTCAATGTAGTTGGCTCAACTCTCACTTCACCTTCCCTTCTCATTTGCTGAAATAATGCAAACCCATCCTCAAAGGACCCTGCCCTCATATAACCATTCATCATTGAACTCCAAGTTACGTTGTTCCTCTCCCACATAGCATCAAACAACTTTCTAGCCTCAATAAAATTCCCACTTTTACAATACCCATCAACCATTGAACTGTATGAAACAATGTCTTTTCCCCTCATATTCTCGAAAACCCGGACTGCCTCCTCCAACTTCCCATTTTTCAAATACCCATTTATCATGGCATTTGAACAGACGGGCTCACGGAAAACTACAGGAGTCTCATGATACAATTTCTCAGCCTCACTGAATCTCCCTGCAATAACAAACCCTGTGACCATAGCTGCAAAAGACACCGCATTTCTCTCTGGCATTGCAAGGAAGAACTTAAAAATCTCATCCACATCAAAGCTGCACCTCATATAGGCAGTCAACATCGCATTCCATGACACAACAGTTCGTTGGGGTATTTTGTCAAACAGTTCCCGGGCTTTATTTAGCTGCCCATTTTGGCCGTACGCAGACAACATTGCTGTCCAAGTAACAACATTCTTAGTGGGCATGCGAAAGAAAATTGACTCCGCCTCTTCAATGTTCCCTTTTCGGCCATTTTCTGATATCTGGGAATTAAAGCTTATCAGGGATTTTGTCTGATCAGTGTGAATTTTTTTTAGGGCTGCAGTTGAAAAAGTAGAGGAACGGAGGACACAAAGTGAGGTGTGGTTTCTGAAACAATTGTACACTTGAAGAGCCCTTCGCATGGATACCGTGCCCGTGATTGATTTAGTTTTTTAACAGTGAATGATTGTGCTGCTTGATCTTTTTTACAGCTAAAAAAGTTCATGAGCATCTATGTTGGTTTAGTTTTTGAGTAAATCCCCTTTCCTAATATCGTCGCTTGGTAAATGGGTAAATAAGATCAGGCGGAACCGTACAAATAAGCCCCTTGGCGTGTGACTCCGGCAGGTAACCTTTTCCAAGGTTTAAAGAATACTCTTATTTAGACCAATGCGTTCATTTTAATGCTTTTCATGTTTAAATCCTTTTCATGTTTTTATTTGGACCGTTTTCAAATAAGATCAGATTAGACCAAATCATATCAGACCAGACCAGACTTGGATAGTTATAAAATACATAAAGATGAGATGTTTACCATTATCTCGATCATACTAGTGGAGATGGAAATAAGCGGATAAATCTATGACTAGTTAACATGTTTACTAATTACTAATATCAACAATTTCAATATATGGTAATTTCTTTATAGATTCCGGATCAAATAAAAATCTTTTCTCCGCGAAAATTGTAAACCGTTCACTTTTTCCAATGTGATGCACAATTGGATTTCTATATTGCACTTTTCGGCATTGACACAAAATTTTAACTTATTTACCAAAATGTCACCGTTTTTTTTAATTTGACATCACTCGATCAAAGCTCGAGAAGTGCAAGAGACGTGGTTTAAAGTAAATCAAATTGGGTCAAAAGTGACCATTTGTAGTCTAAGGATGGTTTTTAGTAGAACCACACCCTTTCTTTATACGAAGTACTCCGTATTTGTTATTTTATTATTTGATTCACTTATTTAACACATACTCCCTCCGTCCCTAAAAGAACTTCCAACTTTCCCTTTTCGTCCGTCCCAAAAAGAACTTCACTTTCCCTTTTTGGCAAAGAATTTGTGGTTCACAACATTTCTCTCTCCTCTGCACAACTCTCCACCACACAATTCTCACTTTCTTAATCAGTGTGCCACTTTATTTTGGAAGAACATTTAGGGACGGAGGTAGTATGTTTAATATGTTAATCTTATACTGTATATCACTCTTCATGATCATTAGTGAACATGTTACATGCTTACAATCTATTGGTTTATTGTAGAAGTTTATCTAACTGAACAGTGATTGTTTCTGCTAATTGAGATTAAGAATCGTTAACTAGAGCAATATAGTCCAAAACGGTAATTAAATGGAAAAAATATGAAAAAAAGTGTCAACCCAACATTTCAATGATACACCACGAATATTAAAAATGTCATTAATATTAGACACACAACAATGATTTATTATAACAGTCAACAAACAAGGCAACAGTGGGAGAGAATACATACCAAGTTACAAACCACAACTAGCTTATAAGCTGCTAGCAAATACTACAAACAATACTAACGACAAACATTTTTATTTTACATCGATCTACTAATGATGATAAATGAATGGAACAACACGAATTGAAGACCCTACAAAGGAGACAACCCCACAATTGTACTTAGTTATAGAAGTCCGATCCCCAACTTCCATTAATAAGTAAATTATTACTCGTTTTGCTTATTTCCTCTTGTTTTGGCCAACACTCTTTTCCCGTATGGGTGGCTGTGCAAGTAGTTATAATGCCCGTTTATCAGAGTTACCATTTCTTGCCGGACATACCCCTGCACACCACGAGTAAGGAAGAGAAGAAAATCAATATATAGTGAGTTTCTCGTAACAAACTTATGAACGTAATCATTATTATTACTGCAATCTTACTTACATAGATGATTTTGTCCGTATTAAGGGTTTTTCCATTAGAATGTACTGTTTCTAGTAGAAATTTCACTCCAACACAAGTTTTTTAGTGATTTTTCGCTAGAATGAAGTAGTACATTGCGACGGAAAAGCTCATAAATGAACAAACTAATAAGTTGAGTGACATGTTCTATGCAAAATTACGGGATTCATAATGGATAGATTCAAGAATTATGATGTTTGTAATTGGATTTATTTCAATTCCAAACTAAACCAGATCAATTCAAAATATAAACGAACCAGATCATACTTTAATAGACCAAACCAATTCAAACTAGATTATAGTTAAACAGAACAGATCAAACAAGAACAAATCAGAAAATTTCACTCCAAGGAAAAAAACATTATGGGCTGAATCTGTAAATTTCTCGTAGTTTAATTGTTTGATAGATGTCAGATTATGCAGTATCAGACTTTAAACATGACAATATTTTACTCTATAAAAACTGTCACCACCAAGTAAAAACAGACGGGTGAAATGCATAAATAGTACTTTAACTATTTGTATTGTTGCATTTGGCACCTTAGCTCTTAAATTTTGTCTATGTACTCCACCTTATATACTTTTGTTCATGTCATCAGTGTAGGGTAGACACTATAGTTCTATACATGAAATTTTGATCTCCATGTATGATTTTTTGGCTACAAATTTGAATAATATTGTCAGTTGAAACATTTATGTATAGTTATGGTATTGATTTGATTCATTTAAGAGTTAAATTACCAAAATACAACAATAACAATAGTTAATGTACCATTTATGCATTTCACTCAAAAACAGACCTATCAAGGAACCAACCTTGCATGTTGCGAGGGCAGATTGGGCAACGTAGTTCCCATACTGGTCTTGAAGAAGCATCAACAGATTTGGACTATACATTATCTCTTGTACGATCTGCGCTATTGTTTCCTCACTCTCAAACTCTTTCAGGCATTTCTCAACCACATTGCTCCCATATTTGTTCATCGATAGAGAAACAAAACTTCCCCTTAGCCTTTTCAAGATACCCTCTTTCACTCCTGCTATTTTGAGTCCCAATATGTTTTGCACCACGTAGTTCCTACATCCATGCATATATGATTGTATGCATGCATTAAGAACCATTCATTCACGCCCATATAATGCATCCATGAAAAGAGCCAAAGAGACACCCATCCAAATATCTACCACCATCCCTACTTAAACTTCATCTATTCGTGTTTAGAATGTCTAAATAAAATTCTCTTGTAAAGAAAATCTTGTGAAAGTCCTCTGTTCCTTTTTAGTTGTAATGATTTACATTTCACGTTTGTCAACACACAAGTTTGATTATTACTATCTTTCATTCCTTATTAGTAAGGAATTAAAAAAATCAGATTCATAAAATTTAAAAAGAGAAGAATTTAACAATAATTTTAAATAGTTTAATTTATACTCCCTCCGTATTTAAAAGATGCCTACGTTAGGTTATGGCACAAGATTTAAAGGAGGATAGTAGGGGTAATGAATAGTAGAGAAAAAGTAGGAAAGAGAGTATAAAAAAATAGAGAAAATAAGAGTAATTGAGTACTTTTAAACGAAAAACATACCAAAAAGGGAAAGTATGGGGAACTTTTAAATACAGCCCAAAAGGAAAAGTGTAGGGAACTTTTAAATACGGAGGGAGTAATACATTAATAAATGAAATGTAGTCAAAGTAGAGTATGCAAATAGTGCAAATGTCACCAATGTTACAATTAAAAAGGAATGGAGGAAGTACTAAATACATAGTGTGAAGCCCTATTGAGTAGTGCCAATGCAAAATAGTGCATTTTAAAATAATATCCACCCGAGTAAAAATGGCATTGAAGGAAGTCGAAGAAAAAACTCTTCTATTCCTAAACACCATGAATGTTAAGCTATTACTCCCTTCATCCCTTAAAAAGCTTTCCCCTTTCCAAAATCCATTTTTCTTATCCAGTAAACACTAGGTCAAACAATGTCAAAACAATGTATTTCTATAGTAAAACTTACCCTCACTAAAAATGCATTTCAGGAAATCTTTGGGAAAAATTATTTCCATAATTAAAATGTGTGCTATATATATTTAAATTGGGAAGTTCAAATAGGGACAGAGGTAGTAACTTGTTTATGAGACAAAAAGGGTATATGTTTACGTTACCCGTAAGGATGCTCAGAAAGGACTAGGGAATTTGCAGTAATTTCAGCAATGAGAGGCTCTCGAGATTGAACATCAGCATTCTCCACACAATGTTGGATAACACAGCAGCCACTTTTATCAGTTGCAATGTTCACACAATTCTCTGCTATCACATTCAATAATGGCTGCAAATATATAGGGTAGGAGTATAAAATCCCAATATCAGTCATATAACTCATATATGTGGGTGTTTCTAATTCTTCTTTTGCAAAAAGAAAAAGAAGCAGCTGCATTGTAATGTAGGTACCTTTTTCTCTTCATGAGAGAAGAATTTAATACAGTGTTGGATGACATGGTGGCCATTAACGCTTTTAGCCAAAGTTACAGTGATGCGCCTTAGGGCAGACACAACCAAAACTCTTTGCTCCTTTGTTCTGAGATGCTGCAGCATTGTTTGCATCGCCCTCGTCCTTCATTTATTTTAATGAAAACACTTTTTACCCAATGTTATACATCCACAGATCCACTATACTGGTTCACTAAACAAATCATTATATATTTATGATTGATGAACGAGCTTACCGGAAAAATTGTCCTATATAGGAGTAAATAGTTTTTTGAATTCAAAAATAGTACTTATATATTTTTATTTCTTAAATATGATCCACATGACAATATTCACTATATTGTTTGAAAAGTACTGCCATTATTTACTCCAATTCGGGAACTTTCCCGGGCTTACAATGCACTTCACAAACAATAAATGCACGAGTATGTCATAATTTAAAATTGAAATGTATATGGAATGAAAATTATTATTCTCTCCGTCCTATAAAATTCTTCACAGTTGACTTGCATTGGAGTTTAAGAAAGTGAAAATAGAGTGAAAATGTATCATTGTTATTGAGTAAAAAAAGGTAACCAGGGGCGGATCCAGGAATGAGGGGTGGGGTGGGCTAAGTAGTAAAAATTTTTGTTATTGCATACAAAAGGTTTAGCTTAGGACTTATAGTTATTGGACTGAGTTTTTTTCGAACTACTCGAGTTCGATCATGATTTCGAATTTAATTTAATGACCAAAGCTTAATGAGCTTCAATCTCGAACACGGGCTAACTTTTAGTTTAAATAGTTTGTTTTAACAAAAAAAAGCGGTCGTTATTTTTTTGAGTTTGAATAGTTATTCAAGCTGAATTCGAGCATAGTCATGTTCAATTCGATCTGGACTCGAGCATATTCATAACTTATAAATTATAGAAGGTAAAACTGTCAAATAGGTCCTCGAACTTTCATAAAAAGGTCAATTAAGTCCTTCTATAGGAGGTTCTGTCCGGCCGTCGCGATTTGGGTCAGTTCCCGGTGGAATTTTTTGATGAAATTTTTTTAGCATCTTATTCACCAAGTCTAGTTTACTCATACCAAATTTCAGCTAAAAATTCAATCGGGAACACATTCAAATTAATTCTTGAAGATAACTCCGCATTTTTGCGTTCTTGAATTAATTTGAATGCGCTCCCGATTAAATTTTTAGCTGGAATTTGGTATGAGTAAACTAGGCTTGATGAATAAGATGCTCAAAAAATTTCATCAAAAAATTCCACCGGGAACCGCCCCAAATCGCGATGAGCGGACAAAGTCTCCTATAGAAGGACTTAATTGACTTTTTTATGAAAGTTCGAGGACCTATTTGACAGTTTATATACTATTTTTATAAACTATATACTACCTCCGACCTTTATTAAGACTAATTTGACTTTTCAAGTCAAAGAAGTTAAACTCTGAATGACTATATATTTATACAATAAAATTGATAATATGAAAATGAAATGGAAATGTTCTTTGTTAAAAAGTTTATCATAAAAGTATAAATTTAGTAAGTTTCACATTAATACCTGAGTTAAAATGATGGATCAAAGTTTACCATCTTTGAGTAAAGAGTCAAAGATGGCTAAATAAAATGAGACAGAGGTAGCATATCTAAAATTTAAACGTTTTTAGTGTGATTTATAATTTTATTACTGATTATTAAAGATTTTAGTATTTATTGATATGAATTAAAATACTTCTATAAAAGTATAAAACTAATAAGTAAAAATAGTCGATGTACATAAAACTAATAAGTATTCCCAATTTTAAAATTGAATTGAGATTTTGAATCCATTCTTACATGCCTAAACAGTAAATACATCGTTCTCTATTCTTTAATTGCATTATAAATAAATCATTTTCTAATCTTTAATTCTATCTTTAATAAATAAAAACTATTTTACTATCTACTGAAAAAATTCAATTAATAATCAAATAGAATTACAAAGTTGGTAGGCTTGGGCTGGGCTAGACATTAGTTTTGAGGTGGGCTAGAAATTAAACCTATACCTAAAATAATAAAAATAAATTGGGCTGGGCTGGGCTGGAGCCCACCCCTGCCCCAACATAGATCCGCCCATGAAGGTAACAAATGAGTGATAGCCACAACTGTCACACAAAACTTTCCAAAAAGGGAAATGAAAAGATTTTTTTAAGATGTCCCAAATAGGTAAGTGAGATGAATTTTTGTCATGTTTTGATACTGTCAAAACATGACAGTAATTACTCTCCTTTGTACTCCAACGAGATATACATTCCTATTTTAGAATACACAAATGCTTTTACTCCTATTTAGCACAATTTCTCTAATAAGTATTTTGGGTCATTCATTCATTAATACTATCGTACTAGGTAATAATCTATACAGTATCATTTTAACATAATACGAAGTACTAGTACTTCGCATAGCCACACTTTTTTTTCGAATTTTCTTCTCGGGTTACACGTCTATATAAGTTTTTCCACAACTTTATTATCACATAATTTTTTTCTATCTAATCTATCCTCCGTATATTAATACTCCGTAGATTATACCTAACCAATATTTTCCCTTGAAGCCATCAATCCCCTTTTCGGTTAATTTTAGACACCGTTATTGAACAAAATTATTCATTTACCTTTATTGTTTTATTGGGTTTGCCGATCGATTGGATATCATGTTTCAAAGCTATTTTTAAATAATTGCTATTTTTTTCAATTTTAACAACCGCTTGATGTTATATGAACATATGTAGGCTAGTAACTAAATATAGTAAACGAAAGTATTATTAACTCATTCATTTGAGAAACACGTATATTTAATTTTGAACAAAAGATTATTAAAAATATTTCAACAATATGGACCCCAAATCTTAACAGTTTAGTTTCTAATATGGTATTTCTATTTTTTGCAATAAACATGATTAGCTTTAAAATAACCATATTGTGCATACAAATACTACTACTACGTATGTTATTTTTAATTAGCATGTGATATATTCCTTATAAAACCAAGGAAAGATTTACAAAACTGGAGTACAAACTATAGAAAATTATAAAATAAGAGTAGTATGTTCTTTTTTCCTAAGTAAAAGCATGCAACCGTCCTTCTTGAAATAAACTACCATATTTTGGCATTATCATACTTTCAATTAGTGTATTTTAAATATGACAACATATGTATTATCTTAATTGGGAGTACTTTCCATACATGTTAATAATTACTCTTAATCGAGATGTAAAATCGTAATGTTTCTATTTTGGAATTTTAAAACGCTTGTAATCTTAATCCTATTCAAGCCAATTTCTCATAGATGAATTACCCGTGCATGTCAAGACAAATGGCGAGAAGTTGACGTTCATCCCTGACGGCGGAGAGAAGTAGGTGGTTCATTTGATGTGAATTGCACACTTGAAAAAGTTTTTGAATCAGATAATTCCCTGAAGGATCAATCATCAATTCCCCCACCCGATCTTTTGCCTCGGAAAATATGACCTCAACCTCCTCCGGCTTCCCCTCCTCCAGCTTCTGTTGCAAAAAACGGCAGCTCTGCTGATCCTTGATCGCAAAAATCATCTTCTCGCCGCCCCTCAGCTCCTCCAGCCGCGGCGGCGGAGTCATATTCACAATATTATTATTTCGAACCCTAAACCCATTCCCGAGGTTAATGTTAATGCTACTTTCCAGTAGAGCTTCTTCTAATTCCCGGAGAGATATTGTCGTCTCATCTCTACTCCGGTAGAATCTGGCCGGAACCCTTTGCTCCGGCGCCGGCAGGTTCCGGATTCCAACCCTAAAATTTGAACTCATCGGATCTCCAAGATTCTGAAATTGCCGACTACCATGAGGAGAGTAATAAGGATTCATATTCATACCTCCAGAATTAAATCTAGTGCCCGCTGCCGGCGACAACCTCGTAGACGGTAAAAACTCCGGCGGAAAATAATCTAAGGCGGCGCTACTGCCGGTGTTTGTGGTGACGTGGATTCCATTATTAGGGTTTACGTGGAACAGCCCAAACTGCTGGTGATTGTGTTTTCTGATCATAGGAGTTTGGAATAAGCCGCCGTTGTTATCGGAAGGTGAGAGAAACCCCCAATCTGGCGGCGGGTAACGGCGGTTTCCGGTGGCGGACATGATCTGATCTCCGATCCATTCGTCCATTATGGTGAGATCGGATCTGATGACGAAGAAGGGTTCGTAAATTATGGGGCGCAGTTAGGTTATTGGATAGGTGATAACGTGTATATTAGGGTTTATGATGCTGCATGGATTGGTGAAGATGAGATTGAGCCAAAGGGAAACTCTTCCTAAATCCTAAGTATGAAGTGTCACTAATAAGCGGTCTCTATAGGAAGGGTGCGTATGATATTATCTCGATTTGTGAAATTTATTGACATTTAATCACGCACTAATTTAATTTAGTATGAAACGTACATATAGGGGTGTCTTCAACCGTGGATTGTAATGAATTTAAGATTTTAAATCCAATGAATTATATGGGTTGAATTCTATATCAATAATATCATTCAGGTGAAATCATATGAGATTCTGTTTCATAATAATTGTATAAGTTCTCATAATAAACTTTTTTCTTGAGAAGCTGATAATAAACCTTAAGAGAACAAATTCACGTGGTCAAACGTCAATGGAATACGGGTTTTCCCCTAAATATTACTAATAAATCAAAGGCATTTTCCAAAAAAGTGACTAACTGACTACTTTTGAATATAGACAAAATGTGACTAACATGGTCACATATTTGGAAAATCATGATGTAACTGTAAATTTTTTATGTCATTGCAATTTTTCGTGTCACTATGGATTGACATTCCCATATTTTAATGTCATTTATGTATGTCACTGTCAGATTTTCATGTCACTTAAGATCGTACGGATGTCACTGTCGTCGAAAATCATGTCACTTTGACAGTTTCCGTTCAATGAAATTGCCGCCCCCGACACCGGCAACGCACAAAACAGCCCCCGCCGCCAACACCGCTGCCGATCAGCCCCCGCCCCTGACACCATGGTTGATCCGCCCCCACATACACACTCGACAACCACCACCGTTGACAGCCGCCGCAATAATAACCGTGACCACACCGGACCCTCCCCAGCCCACCACCCCCTCCCCAGCCCCTCCCTAGCCAACCACCCCCCTCCCCAACCTACCAGCGGACCAGCCCTTCCCCAGCCAACCAGCCCCGGCCCCCTCCCCAACCCACCATCGGACCAGCCCCCCTCACAGTCTCTCCCCAGCCAACCAGACCCCTCCCCAGCCAACCAGCCTCCCTTCCCAGCCAACTAGCCCCCCACCCTAGCACATTCACCAGCCCCCTCCCTTAGCCACCAGCCCCCCTCCTAGCCCCTCCACTATCCACCAGCCCCTTTCCTAACCGACCAGCCCCTCCCAAGCCCCCAAGCCCTGCACAATCGTAGCCCAAAACCACACCCCCACCCAGCCCTGCAACCGCCGTCGTCTGTCGGCATCAGATCTGAAGCTCTGATCTAACCGATGGATCTCTGTCGCAATCGATGCAATCGCGGATGTAGAGACCAAAACGACGTAGAAAGCAGAGGAAGAAGAGTTAGGCCAGTAGTGGTTGTCGTCTCCAAGGCTCGAGACGCCATCACCGAACCCTATCCATCATCGTCGAGGAAGAGGTCGTCGGAGAAGAAGAGGAGGAGGAGGAGGAGGAGGAGGAGGAGGCACTACTAGATTTTCTGCTATTTGCTGCTCCTCATTTGCTGCGGTCCAAAACAAAACCGCAGCAATTGATGATTTTTTTAAGTATTTGTTGTGGTCATTTAGAAACCGCGGCAAATAAGTACATTTTTTATAGTTATTGCTGCGGTCATGCCCGAAATGCAGCAAATAACGATTCCATTTTTGCCATTATTATTTTTTCCTCACTATTAGCTGCGGTGAAATTGGACCGCAACAATACGTCCAGAGTTTTTAGCTATTTGATACGGGCTTCTAAAAACTGCAGTAGTTGCTGAGATGAGTACTTAGGGTTTTTTCTAAACTACGAAGGAATTTCACAAGCCTGCATATCACTTTCTCCTTACCCCGCCCAAGACATCGTTGCCGCCCTCCTAGCAACACACCACCACCGCACCCCTCCCAGCAGCAGACCACCGTCACCCCATTCCCAACAGCACAACGCCGTCGCCGGCCTCCCAATAGCACATCGCCATCACCTGCCTCCCAACATCAATCCGCAATCTCCGCTCCTCTGTGTCTAGGGAACAAGTTGTAGCCACTAGCCGCTGCTTGACATTAAGTAACCACTACTCCTTCAGCCTGGCGCTCTTTCCTGAGCGCCGCGTCTCCTTATTGACTCCTCCGCTTCACTTATTAGAGGTTTATTCCTCAATCTTTTATATTTTCAAGTAGTTTGCTTTATTTGTTTATCATTTTACGAAAATTGAATATTTGTTTGGATTTATGAAATAAGTACTGATGTTTATGTTTGTATAAGGTTGATTTGTATGTATTTTTGAAGTTAATTCCCCAAGCTAATTCTCCGCCACCTGTGGTTCTCCCAACCAACTGTTGTCGATTGGTGTTGCCGATGATGCCTCCGATTAGGGTTGCCAAAGGGTTCTGCTAAAGAATACCATCGTCCAAGTTATATATGCTTAATTTATTTTTATTTTTTGATGTATGTTTAGTGTGTCTTATACATGCTTAAATATGTTCTTCCCATTATATATATATATATATATATAGAGGAATGCTCCTGTCCAGACGTCCGGACAGGAGCCGCCGTCCGGCCGGCGGCTTTTGGCCGCCTTCCCGGTGGAATTTTTTGATGAAATTTTTATGGCATGTTCTCCATCAAGTCTAGTTTATCCACAAAAAAATTCAGCTAAAAACTCAATCGGGAAGGTCGTCAAATGATTTTTGCAAGTTAACTGGTCCGGAAAATACATATTCCGGACCAGTTAACTTGCAAAAATCATTTGACGACCTTCCCGATTGAGTTTTTGGCTGAATTTTTTTGTGGATAAACTAGACTTGATGGAGAACATGCCATAAAAATTTCATCAAAAACATCCACCGGGAAGGCGGCCAAACGCCGCCGGCCGGACGGCGGCTCCTGTCCGGACGTCTGGACAGGATCTTTTCTATATATATATATATATATATATATATCACTAATTATAAGAATAACTCAATTCATTTGGGATAATATTAGAGTAAAAATGAATTTGATGCAAGTTTAAATTAGTTGTAACTTTTCATGTCAGCAATCTAAGATAATTCTTCCCGATGCACTTCAAAGTAATTTGGGATAATACCTTAGATTCACTTCATTAGATGAACGCTGATTTAATTTTGGATATTAGTTTGTTTTTATTAAAAAAGTATGTCTTCATGACGATTTCCATTAGAAGAGGGGTATAATGTAGTTTGAGTTGTTTGCGTAGATGGGTTATTTGGTTGTTTAGCCGCTGATTGAGCTATTATTATTACCCATTTAGCACCAACAACAAAAAAGGGAATGGAGAATGGAATAAGTTGTAAGAGTAGATGATTTGAGTACACAGAAAGGAGTTGTTTCATTGTTGAAGTACACATATGATTTGGCAATAATTTTTGTTGCAGGTAATTCTGTTCTTTGTGCTTGGTTATTTCATTTAGTGAGTATTTTTTTTATATTCAAACGTTATTTGCAATTAGACTAGTCTAATGGTTGCAGGGCTTCTTCAGTGGCCACAAGGAACCTTTGCCTCAAATGTTAGCATCTTGTCTCATCTAGTTTTTTCCTCATGAAGGCACACGCTATGGTTACTCCTTTTCAATGTTCCTTTTGGGGTTTTAATGTTCTCTCTATGCCATCTTTTTAATGTTCTTTGTTGCCTCTTGAAGTTCTAAATCACTTCAGCGTGTTACTTGTTTGTTTCATTTGTAATTAAAATCCATTATTTTTCATATCCACATTCTTCTCTTAATCCATTGGTTTCTAATGATATTATCAATAGGTCATTGTGGAACGAGAAAAACATACGATAACTGTATAAAGAGAGGTTGACTGTGGTATTGAAACATTGTGTTTGGGCCTACGTTCTTGCAGTAATCACATAAGACACCCTTCACTGAAATTTACTCATGTCCATCCTGTCTTAGGTTCTATAAAAGCTTTTATCATCCTGAAACATTTGGTTGCATTGAAGTGATTGAACAGTAGTATCATCTCACTTTAACATTTCAATTTGAAAATATTTTAGTTCTTTCCTATATGCAATAAGTTTTTTTCACTTTCGGTGCACGGCTAGTATCTGTTTTGATGCATTGTGTTCTTCTGATCACTGGCTAATTTATAGAAAAAGGCTGGCTTGAGACAACTTGGATAGTCAAGGAAATTTGGGTATAATAATGAAATTAAACTGATGGGTGATTACTTGACTATTCCATTTAAAAAAGCTCCAGATTAGAGCATAGAATTGACTAGTGAAGCTGTTGAATTCTTGAAGGAAATATTTAGTACATTTTTATCCAATGTCATTGTTTGAGTTTTTTTAATGCAAAAAACATATATATATTTCTCTAATTATGTTTTTTTAATATTTTAGACTTGTTGGAGTACCAGAAGAGATGAATCTTTGTCGAGAGATGAAGTATGTGAAGCTTGCGATGGGTTGGTGATAGAAGTGTGATTATTTTATTGTAAACTATTAGCTCTTATAAACTTTTATGAGATGAAGGTTTCTATTGTATGCAAAGTGAGCTTTGGTGATGTATAAGTTCATTGTTTTGGAATTATGTTTTTGATTTGTGATCTGAGATACTACTGTTGTAAAATGAATGTTTCTTATTTTATAAATACGATATGTTTTGGCTTAAAACAACATCTTTGTAAATTTGGGTACTAAAACGAAACAAAAAAATATTACAATTTTTGCTTTTTTCCCATTTTTTTGGTGCAAATAAATTTTAAAAAAATTAATACTATTTGCTGCGGTTAGGAACCGCAGCAATAAGTCCAAAATTGATTTTTTTTCAAATACATATTTGCTGCAGTTTGGAACCGCAACAATGAGAGGGAGACGGAAGGGCTGAGGTTAGTTGTAAATCATATTTTTGGAAAATTCAAAACCAGTCATATTTTTGTCCATCAAAAGTTTATAGGTAATATCTATGCCAATATTTCAATGGAATTTCATTCTATATACTACCTCTGTCCTGAAAATGTTTATCATATTGACTTTTCTTGGTCAATGATGACAAA